AAAAAAAAAAAAAAAAAAAGTAAAATTTTGTTTAAAATTTTCTATTGATAGTCGAAGAGAAGTTTAGATGGAAAACAAATAAAAAAGGAAAAATGAACAAGTAAGCAACGTTTTATTCTTTTGTTGTAGGAATTTTCAACACACAAAAAAATCTCATCTTAATCTCATACAGAGAAGTAAATAGCTAAGTCCTCTACTAGTTAGTCAGTTAGCTAGCAAAGTAGAAGGAAAAACGTAAAAAAACAGAAGCAAACAATAATTAACCACAACGTTTTTTGAAAATCCAGGACGTATTTATGTATTTATATGTGTATATGTATACATTTTGTAAATATGTACATTATTGCATATTTTCAGAATCTTTTTCATTTTTCAAACATAAAATAAATTACTGCTAAATAAAACCGTTAAATTCACAGCTTTTTTCGGCCACAGTTTCCCCTCTTTTTTTCTTCTTCTTCTTCTTCATCGTCTTCCTCAGTTTTCCTCGACACTGATTTCTTTTCACATGCCTGAACTTTATTTTTCTTTGTTTCAAAGCAGAGGGAGAAAGTAAATGAAAAGCCAAGATAAACAAAAAAATAAAAATAAATAAAAGAAAGCAAAGAAAAAGCTACAAAAACAACAACAGAAACTGATGAGCTAAAAAAGAAAAAGTTTCGTCAAAATATATTTTTTAATCTGACAATTTCTTTCCCTTTCCTTCCCCTCTTTTCTAGCAGTTTTTCAATCATAAACGTCATTCTTCGTCAGTTTTCCAAAAAAAAACATTCATTTTATAATTATGCCTCAAAAAAAGCAAAACAAAAAAGCATAAAGTTAAAACTATCAGAATTATTGTGACTTTTAAACAGCCAAACAAATAAATACTGCTGATCTAAAGCAAAAAAAAAAACTTGGCTACTGCTATTTGTGCCAAAAACGGCATATGAAAAGAGTACTGCAGAAAAAAGAGGATGATGAGAGAAAAGGTAGCAAAAAAAAAAAAAAAAAGAAAGGAGAAGGCGGCAGCATCAGATCGTTCCGTTTAAGCAGTTTACTGGATTTGAGTGCTGAAGAAGGAGCGACTGAAGAAGGAAGTAGCAGGAAACATCATTCATCTGTTTAGCGATGACTCCGTATAGAAATTGCAAAAAATATTTGAATTTTAATCTTAACTAGTCATTTAACTTGATCTTAGCTTTTAGACAAACACAAATCTGCATAAAACCTACTCAGATAACACAACTTTTAACATACCGATTGACAACCCACTTTTTTCAGCAGTTAGACGGAGAGTAAATAAGCTTTTTTTTTGGCTTCTGTTCAATCGACATCCGAAAAGACGATCACGAAGATATTTGTGGTTGTCATACGCTGGTAATGAATACCACCTACCTGACCATAACAAA